GATCTACACCACTACATTACTGTGTTAAGATTAAAAGATTTGTACATCTTTTAGGTAAAAATAATAGTTTTTTTTTGTAGAATTATTATTTGGAAAAGGAGAGGGCAGGGGATCAAAATCGACCAAAATTGCGTGGCATATTTTTTAGACAATATCTTTACATAAGTAAAGATATTGTCCATACATATTGTCATGTACATAACTGTTGGTTGTGGAGTGTTTTTGTTGCAAATAATAAGTATTATCCTTATTTAAATATTTATTAAGTATTATCCTTAGTTAAATATTTATTATGTCCCTTTATTACAAATTGATTATTAAATGTTTTTATACAAATTTGCACTCAGATAAAAAAGTTAAGGAAAAAAAAAAAAATTGTTTTATAACTTTTTAACTTTTGATTATTTTAATAAAGTATCATTCAATAAAGTTTTGAGTAAATATTTGCTAATGTAATATTTTTTTGTATTTAAGATAATACAATAAGAAAATATTACACAAGAATGATTTTCCATGGACAATCAGTTATTTGTGTGATATCTTTTTTTCCATCTTAGGTATTTCTCATTATAAATATCATAAAAACCCAGACAAACATCATTTTTTTCTGTCTGGAAAATGTTGATTATTTAACTTATAATAATTTTAATAGTTTTGCTAATAAAAATTTAAAAATAGTTGATGACTTGTTTCAAAATATTAACTCTAAAATAAAGTTGATGGCTTGTTTAGAAATATTAACTTTTAAAACTTTAAAAATAGCTGATGACATGTTTAGAAATGTTAACTCTTAAATCTTTAAAAATAGTTAATGACATGTTTTGAATGACCAGTTTATTGAATCCTCTGAATATTTAGAAAGCTATTGTAAAGATGTGTTAGAAAAACTTTATCAACTTGGTTAAAAGTTTTATATTATTAAATACCACCTTATAGATTTTCTTGAAAGAAATCAGAAACCTCTCCGACTTTTTTCAGTGCAAACATCTAATACTGGAAAAAAACCACAGTTAAAGCTCAGAAAAGTGGCTTTGAATTACAGCTCTATGAGTGTTTAAGTTAATTAGAAACAAACATGTTTTAGCTTATTTATAATATTATATAATATATATGATGTTATATATAATATAATATAATATAGATTTATATAATATATATGATATACATATATATATATATATATATATATATATATATATATATATATATATATATATATATATATATATATATATATATATATATATATATATATATATATATATATATAATATAATCTCATATAGATCTATATAATATATATATGATATATATATATATATATATATATATATATATATATATATATATATATATATATATATATATATATATATATAATATAATCTCATATAGATCTATATAATATATATAATATATATATATATATATATATGATATATATATATATATATATATATATATACATATATATATATATACATATATATATATATATATATGTATATATATATATATATATATATATATATATATATATATATATTTATATATATATATATATATATATATATATATATATATATATATATAATGCATAATATCTATGATATTATATATTATATAATATCATGTAGATCTATAGAACATATATGATATATATATATATATATATATATATATATATATATATAATATATATATATATATATATATATATATATATATATATTATAATATATGTATATTATATAAAGTATATTCTATAAAGTATATTCTATAAAGTATATTCTATAATATATATATATATATATATATATATATATATATATTATATAATATATATATATATATCGTCGGGGATAGAGCAAAACCGCGTAACTAGCACTGGATAATACCGCGTATCTACAGTACCGTCAACTGGGGTTACTTTGATAGGTTTTTGTGCTTTTTTTAAAAGTGCTGATAGAATTTTAATGAATTGCTGTTGTTTTCGGTTTTGGTTTGAATATACCAAATGATCTATCCTTAACAGGAAAAAATGCTTTTTAGAAATATCAGAATTTGTCTTTTAATTGTTTTTAAAGCCCAAACAGTTATCAATGTAACCCCGCATGTCGGGGTTACTTTAATAGTAAATGTTATTTCAATCAAATATCAAGTTAACTGATCACAGGGTTTAATTGATAGTTTTTTAGGCTTATAAAAAAGATTTATAGACCTAGTACACTTAATACTATCCAAAAAATTACAAAGTTGGTTGAAAAAATGTCTAAAAATATATCAAACTATATCAAATTCAAAATTATAATTTATCAAAAGTTTTTGATTTTAGTTGATGGCTTGGTGAGACAGGTATGGGAACCGATATTGGTCCATTGTTTTTCTCGGTTCATTTGAAATTCTTTCAACCACAGAAGAATATGCAACAGCTTCATCCATATCATCTTTACTTTCCGTAAATTTGAAGAATTTACTCGCCGGTTGTTTTTTCAAAAATTTAATATAAAGCAGTTTTATTCTCTCGAACACTTCAACAATTTGACCAATGTAATCGACAACAGATTTCTTCCTGGTGTAGGCTACAACTACCCATTGCTTTGGTTCAGATGGAATGTCAGTTGTTTTATGAGCTTATTCCAAAGAGTCTTCACTGTCATCTTGAAGTTCCATTTCAATTTCAGAATCATTATCTGAAGATGTTGAAGACTGGATTTTTTTATTTGATCGTTTTTTTTTGACAACCAATTTTGTACCAGTACAACACTGTGTTCGTTTTTTTTTTCTTTGATCACACTGAGATCATTTGATTTTATTTCTTTACCAGGAATTATCTTTTTTCCTCTCTTCTGTGTTTGTTTGTCTGGTTTATTGAATCCACAATGATCTTTTAGCATTTCCTGAACAACCGTGCCAAAGATTTCTTTAACCTTTTCACCACCAATATCTCGGTTCTCATTTGGCAGTCTTTTCAAGACTTTATCTCTGTTTAGTGGAGATATTTTGCAAACCAAAAAGCCAGAAATCAGGTTTTGTTCTTTTAGTCTTCGATGCAACTTCAACAATAACCCAGGAAAATGTGTCTTTGGTATTTTGATCCTTTGATCTGACTTTCTTTTTGCCAACATTCTAGGATTCTCTTCCATTTTTTCTTCATGGATCTAAAAACTACGACATCCATTGGTTGAAGGAGATGACTTGCATTTGGTACCAAACAGGTTAAACAAATGTTATTCAGTTGAGCGGCCTCAATGACTAGAAGAGAAAAATGAGAGGCAAGATTGTCACCAATGATGACTTTTGGTCCATGATCTTTACTAACGTTAGAAAAAAATATTTCTAGAAACCAGCGTTCAAAGGTTCTTGAGTCGAACCAGCCTGACTTTGTGTTGTCATAACAAGTTCCTTCTGGGCCACCTCTGGTCCATTCTTGATAAACATTTTGAGACTTATATACTACCATAAGTGGTAGGAATACTCCAATAGCATTTCCACAATACATGATGCTTACACAACTCTTTGAGTGTTGCATTTTGCATTCGACTCTTTTAAGTCCTCGTCTGCATATGATCAGTTTTGCGCCAAGTCATCCGAAAGATTAGTCTCGTCATAGTTATAAATGTTACAGGGTTCAACGCCTTCTAATGTATTTGCTAATTCATCAAAGTAACCATTCACAGTTTGTCCACAAACCTCTGCGAGTGAAGGTTTTACATTGTCAGCAATGCGTATTGTCAGCTTATGACGTTTAATAAAACTTAGCATCCAATCGATCCCTGGTAAATTGTTGTTAAACTGTCTATTTTTAACACCGGAGTGATCGAGATAATGTTTTCCATTAAACGAATATCTAATCCATCAACAGGCATTTTCCAATCACAGGCATTTTCCAATATATTTCCAATATAGGCATCAATCAGGCATTTTCCAATATATATATATATATATATATATATATATATATATATATATATATATATATATAATATATATATATATATATATATATATATATATATATATATATATATATATATATGTATATTATATTATATATGATCTCATTTCAATTAAAAAAGTATATTTATAATAATATATATTTTCTTTTGCTTTAAAACCTGTATTATATAGAACAAACAAACAAAATATAATTAGAGTAACACATTAGCCATAAGTTTTATCAAACTGTTAAAGCTATTATTATATTTTAAATAGTCAATGTTTTAGAGAAAAAGGAGAAAAGATTGTATGACTTTTGTAGTGAGGGAAAGCTAAAACAATAAAAAATAAATAGTTTTTTAAATATTATTTTCTAGAAAATTTCTGAAATTATCAATTTTTGGCTAAGAAGGAACAAACAGATAAAAAGTAAAAACTTATTTTTAACACATTCCAACCCACATTTATACATATTAATAGAATCTGAAGAAAAACTTAATTTCTTGAAATTCAACCTAAAATCTTTAGAACCAAGCAGTGATAAGGAAGTAAAAGTAATTAGTAAAAACTATATTAACATCCAAAAGTAATCTCCAATTACTTTTGGATGTTAATATAGTTTAAATAATATAGTTTAAGATTTCAACAATTTTTTTTTAACTATATTATTTTTTTGCATTAACTCTAGCATGGTCTATTTTAGAAATTTTTAAAATCCATGCAAGTTTTTTGAGACTCTTTAAGATAAATTTATTTTAGAACTAAAACAATTACCAAAGCCTTATTTTTGTCAAAACAAATTTTTACAGTTATAAATGTTCTCATGATTTATACCAAACCCAGATCCTGTAATCATGTAAGATCCTAGTAAATGTTCTAAAGATGGGTGTTTAAATATAAAATAATCAATAGCATTTCATGCAAGGTTTAGTATGCAAAGATATTTTTAATTGTGAAATATGTGACCGTCCGTTAAAAAATTTAGTTGTGAAATTTTTTCTATTCTTTAACATGCATGTAATTATAGTCACCCATGATATATATAAAAATATTCATTTTAGGCGGATTGAACAATGGCATCAGTTAATTAGAGATTCAAACTTAAGTAAGGTGCAACGTGTTCAGCTACAGTCAGTTGTGAATGAACGATTTCAGGTAGGTTTATACCTTTGTAATTATAAAATTTGTATGTAGTTCTCAAATAATTTTAACATCTTGCACATAAAATTAAAATTTTTTTTGATTTTAAAAATGTAGAACTAACAGAAGTAAATTATGTGGTAGTACTTGCAATGAAGGAAGTTTAAGTTTCTAATTCTTTCCTGTGACTCTGGAAATACTGCTCTACACCGGTTTTTTCACACAACAGTCTTGTTTAACAAGATTAAACAAGTCAGAGTTTAGATTTGAGAGAGAGTTGCAAATAAGTTTTAAATTTTCAGAGTTATTAGGGGTCCAAGCCAACCAATTTTTTTAAAAATAATTTTCAAAAAGTTGTCACTGTAAAAAATAATATCTTGTCTTGAAATAGTCAAATAAACAGGGCTCAATAGTCGCCGGACAAAGGACATTGTCCGGCACATGTTTGGTAAAAAATATCTACCAGTCATTTTTATCCAACTCATTTTTTGGGTGCATTTATTTTATAATTGTTTTAGATGTTCTGAAATTATTAATAAACTCAGTATGGTATATATACTTAAAAAGTATACAAAACAGAAAATGAAGTTGAATAAACAGTTATGTTAATAAAGTACTTGAATTATGTTACATAATGTCTGTTAACGTTTTTTACAATTAGAGGTAAGTTAGAATTTTTTGGGAGAAAGGGAAGAAAGGACACACGCCCCTCCCCACCACCCACCCACCATTACACACACACACTCACCCCCTTAGCATCACCCCTGATTAAAGCTGTTTATAAAATTAATAATAGAAAACGTTTAAAAAGATTTTAATTTATCATCAAAATAATTATTTACATAAATAAACAATATTTATGTAAAGAAGTATTTCATAAAAATTAAAGTTTTATAAAAATTGTTCAATGTTTCATTTAAATTAAAAAAAAAATTTTATAACGTTTTAAAAACATAACATAAATTTATTTTATTTTAAATTTAGTTTTTTTCATTATATTTATCTTTAAGATTTTTTTTTCTCAGTTAAATTATTTTTTTAATTTACACACAAAATATTATATGCCTGGCATACCTTACAAAAATTATATATTTTTTTGGGTTTTGTTGGACATCCGCCTAACCAAAATATTTATCGGACAAATTTATTCGATGTTGTGGCACTTTCCAACTAGTAGCAGGCTATAAGATAGTCGATGTATGTACTGAAGCCTAAGTCAGCAGGCTATTTCAGAAAGATGCCAGAGTTGTCTATTATTGATTTGTTATTAGTGTTTTTTTTATTAAAAAAAAACTCAAAAGTGTAAAGAAAAAAAAATGTTAAAAAACACAGACTAGTAAGTTGAAATGAATATCGCCTAAAACCAGTTGAAAAATTAATTTATCTCAAATCAGTTGAAAATCTATATAATTGGTCAAAAATAATCTGTCAAAAATAAAAACATTATAAATTGGTCGAATATTAAAAAAACTATATTAGGTTGAAAACAATTTAGGTCACAGTAAGACATCTTAAAATTAGTTCCATATGTTAGTAGTTTTTTTTTGTAGAACAAATTAGTAGGTTAAGGTTTTTGTAGACTGACACAATTAGAGAACATCATATCTGAAGATACAATTATACCGATATCTTTAATTGAATTAATATATTTCAACTATCAACTAGCAAAAAGCAACCCATAATACGGGTTTTGGTCAGTCTGTTACATAATTAATTTATAGTGGCTGTTTTCCACAATTCAATGTTGCAAAACCTTAACTAATACCCTTTTAGAAAAATGCCTTCAGCTTAAAAAAATTAATCTATCTGTAAAATTAACATAAAGAGGTAAAATAATTTACCAACTACTACTTAACATTTACAATTACTACTTAACATTATTTTAGTAATTTACAACTGACATAGGTCATAACAGTGTAAGGCAGAACCATTTTCATCGACCTTTCTAAGTTCAACACAATACGTATTTAGTTACTGACACAAAATAATAACACTTCATCATGCTTTAAATTGACGAAAGTATCAACTAAATCCTTGCAATAATTTTTATAACATGAACCATTAAGATTAAAAAGAAGTTAACTTATATTGTACAGGAGTTATCAATTTTTTGGTATCCCCTTGATTAATTTTTCTTTGTAAAAGAAAATTGTTAACTTAAAAATATTAAATGCACACAACTAAATAATTTATTAAAAATAACTAAGTTTATTATAAATATAGTTATTTATAGCAACTGAGTACAAATACGTTTTAAACAAAAAAAATTTAATTTACAATCAAACATGGGTATAACAAATTTGAAAAAATATGTAAACTTAATGCATTAATGCATCATAATACAAACTTAAAAAAAAAGTTATAACAGATAAGTTATCAGGCCTTGCGATGAATAAGAACTGCGCGACGCATAAGCACGACGCGATTTTTGACGTCATTAAATTCTTTTTATTTGCTTTTCATATTTATCGACATTAACTGCACCAATTTATTTAATTACCGCAAAACTACTTTAAATCGTTTATGTAGAAATGTTATTATTTAAAAATGTTTTGGAATGTTTCGTTTTTTAAAATGTAAAAACATTTGTTTATTTTCTCGACGTTTGTCGCGTTTTGTCTATACTAAACGAATAAAAAACATTATAACTTAAATTTAAAAAAGATTATAAAATATGCTAATATTTGATTTTTTTTTTCTTAAATATGTAATTTAAAGTTTTTCAAATAATTATTTTTTCTTTTTAAAAAGTCAGCGAGTAATAAACTGGAAATTTTAATATTGTACGATTAAAAACTGTGCAACAGCTAATATTTTTACAAGCGATTTTATATAATATTTATTTATTTTTATTTATTTTCATAAAGCGGTTGATAAGCACAATCACTCGTATTAATAAAAAACTTAAACAAACGTTTTGAATAGATTTTTAATGTTAACAAGGAATTTTATTTCTATTAAAATAAAATAAAATGTTAGAATAAAAATCTTATAGGTATAAAAGAAATATTTCAGCGAAAAAATTATTCTTAAAAATTATTCTTAAAAATTATTCGAAAAACTATTGACGTTCTATTTTTCAGCAGCTGTTCTTGAGCACGCTTCGATGAGTTTCGGTAACTTTTAACATAAAAGCAAATTTTAAGTAATTCTTTTGAGTTACTTTTTACAAAAATTTTAATAACTGTACTTTTTTATTGAATCAAGTAGAATACGTTTTGATATTAATCTTTTTATTTTTTTATTTGCCCTCACCAATTTTTAAAATGTTTCCTCGAAATCACTCTTAAATACTTTAAATACGTCTAACAGTTAATAAATATTTTTAAATCTATGGAATAATTTTAAAACCTATCAAACCCCTGTAAAATAATTATTTAAGTTTAAAATCTAAAACTAAAAGAAAGTATTTTTGTTCAATTTTATCAACAACGTTGCTATTGCTGAATAATTTTATTAAAATGTTAGCTTAAAAGATTTAAACTTTTTTTTTAGTTTTTGAATTTTTTCTACTTCCAAATAATGAGCATATTTAATTTTTTTAAATTCAAACTTTTATTTCAACTGCGTGCGGTTTTTAAAATACTTTATCAAATGTTAAAATGATCGTAAATTACTTCATTAAAATTCCGCTCAAAAATATCTTTAAATATACTCAAACAAAAATTTTTTTGCTCGACGCAAATAGCCCTAGCTACACGCAAAATCGCCCTTGGACGACGTAAAATTCACATCGCCCGACGCTTTATCGCAAGGCCTGGATAAGTGATATAAAAATTTGTAAACCAAGCTTGTTAACAAGACCCGACTCGGATCTTGTTCAACACAGACCATTTCTATATTATTTGTTTAGTCTCTTTATTTCATTAATTTTTAATAAACGGTAATTTGCCGCCATTTACGAAAAATTCCTTTCGTAACTCGAAATTTAATTTTCCTAAATATTTTGACACTAAAAAAGAGGTTTCTCCCCTCTTTTTGCTTTAATGGTGGTCAGGTGAGTAGAGTTTTTTTAATTAAAAGTAATCATGTTTTTGATGAAGACCTTTTACCAATATAATAAAATGTAAAACAATAATTTACATATATAAGAATGTTTTCTTTCTTTCCTCAAAAGTGTTGCAAATACAGACTAAGCTAGCTAATTAGTTAAACACATAAATAAAGCGTAAGTAACTCGATATTAAATGCGCAAAACTACAATATTCTCCATGTTTTTAAAGGTTTTTAGTTACGACCCCCCCATTTACAAAGATCCCCTAAAATTCGTACAACAAATTATTAGGCATAAAATAGATAAAATGTAAAAGCAGTTTAACTAATAGCATATATTTATATCTTTTTAACTAACACAAATTTGCAATAAAAGGAAATCAGGTTTTTTTTTATTTTATAAATGTTATAGGGTAACGCGAGGCAAAATGAGACAGCAGGGCAATACAAGACAGTTCGCGTTTAACATAGTGCTAGCCCTACAAATTATTATTTGCAACATTTTTAAAAGTGCAGTTGTGTTCAAAAACTAATTTGTGTCATGAAAAATATATTAGGTCACTTTGAAATAAAAAAGTTGAGTAAAAGGGGAATCATTTCACCCCTCGGTTTCGCGAAAATTACGAATTTTTAAGAGTTGTTATTATATTTTTTCCTAGCCTTTTTTGATCTCACTGAGTGGAAAAGCTTTTTATATTTAAAGTTTTTTTTTAATTAGAATCTTTAGGCCTTTTTCTTTCATTTCCATTCTTTGGTATTTTATTTCTTCAATAAAATAGTCTGGAAATTAGGCTATTCGATGCCAACATGATGCGGGACAAAACGAGACATTCTGTTTGTATTTTTTTTTGCCGATATCTAATATTATGTTTATATAATTTTTTACATTAAAACAACAACCAAAGCAAATATTAATATTTACATGCTTTCGATTTAAATTTATTATACTGTATTTACTTACTTTTTATTTTGTTAATTGAAATGTTTAGTTGTTATCCAATATAGAATTACGTTTTATATTT